GAATCTACGAACATGTTCGTTCGTTCGTTCGTTCGTTCGTAGAATCTGCGAACATGTTCGTTTGTTCGTTCGTTCGTTCGTAGGTAAAATTTCATTTTTTTTTTCAAACATAAAATTTTCTTATTTCTTAAAAAAATATAGGAATGATCCTATGTACTCAATAATACTGTAAGCACTATAATACTGTAATTTACAAGTTGTGAACATTATTTTCGCACAAAAAATTTAACGAATATTTTTTTGAGTTTCCACTTGCGCAATTGAATGCATAAAACTAATTAAAAACATCTTCACTCAACAAAAAACATCGCTGAAAATCTTACTTTCACTCATTGTGGTTTGTGTGTCCGCTGGCGAGAATAGAATGATATGATAATTAGCTGGACATGAACGTGGAAGTTGTAAAATGATGAAAGTAATGCATACAGAGAGAGAGAGAGAGAGAGAGAGAGAGAGAGTGAGAGAGATAAAAATGACAAAGACAGCAAAGTTCATCTCTTTTTGTCATTTATGGTGTGCAATTCAGAGAGACTTGTTGCAGTGATGATTTAAATCACATGGACGTTCAAACAGTGTGTGTTTTACGCACTGTGTTAAATCGCCACGTGCAAAACAGTTATACGTTTAGACAATGTTTTGTTCTGTGATCGTACAACACACACAGTTCGAGAGACAACGTGCTTCATGATATCACAGCAACAAGACGAATCTGAAATGTGCACACCATACTTGGCAAAAAGAGATGAACACTGTCTTTGTCACTTTTTCTATCTCTCTCTCCGTATGCATCACTTTCTTCGTTTCACAACATTTGAAACCAGCATTATTATTGCTTATTGCATTATTATGCATCCAATTGTGCAAGTGGAAACTCAAAAAAATATTCGTTCAATTTTTTGTGCGAAAATAATGTTCACAACTTGAAAATTACAGTATTACAGTGCTTACAGTATTATTGAGTACATAAGATCATTCCTATATTTTTTTAAGAAATAAGAAAATTTTATGTTTGAAAAAAAAATGAAATTTTACCTACGAACGAACGAACAAACGAACATGTTCGTAGATTCTACGAACGAACGAACGAACATGTTCGTAGATTCTACGAACGAACGAACGAACGAACGAACATGTTCGTAGATTCTACGAACGAACGAACGAACAAACGAACATGTTCGCATACGAACGAACGAACGAGCGCTCGTTGACCGCTCTGATGATTGTATCATATACATAACGAAAATAAAAGGATATCGATGCCCAGTTGCTGTGTAACAATGTATCAATGTTACTTTGTGTAAATTCCCAAGCAAAATGGAAATTTCTCTTTGTTTGATCATTGTATCTGCACATCACCATTCCATCTATATAATCGATTTTGATGCCATCGGGTCAAACCGATTGAACGATTTCAATTCAACAAGAATTTCAATCGAAAACAACAACAATTTTCCACATGAAATCATTCAATTGCTTCTGTTTCATTTTATTTCATATTTAAACTATTTTAATACATAAATTTTATCAACGATTTGTCTCGATCGTGATATTTTTTGTATATATAATTTTTTTTTATTAAAAGCAATTTTTGTCGAAAAATCTCTTTCGATGAAAACTAAAAAATTCAATAGATAGAATTCATTCTATCACGTGTACCTTGTCACAAAAACGGAAAAAAGCACTTTTACGACAATTTTACTCAGCCTTTCCGAACAATCAACTCAATTAACATAAATATATGTATTTTTATGACCAGTAAATCACACACCCACTTTTCTGAAGAAAATACAATGTGTCGTGATGACATGACAACAATATTTGGAAGCACATTTTTTCGAGTCAAACCTCTTTTTGACCCAAATCCCAAACAACACTTACTCTACTATATGTATATACAATTTCGACATATTATCACCGACTTGTACACAACACTCAAGAGCAATACAGATACACTAGAAATATCTAAGCATTTATAACAGCCCCTCCGTTGATAACACATCATGATTGTCTTTTTTAAAAACAATATCACAAAAAGTGCTAATATATTAGTAGGAATTTTATTTTCTTAGAGGTTGATCTATCGCTTCTTGACTCTTTTAGATAAATTTCAGCCAATCGAACGCACATAGTGAATCATGACAAAAAGATGATTGGAATCCCTTCAAAAGTGATTTCAAATGGCATCATTTGAAGCTCAAATTTTGAACTCTAATCTTCCGTTTGTCATGCGATCTTATGCAATATTGGTAACATATAACACGCGTTAATACAAATTTCATGCCTTCTATAAAATTAACTAAAAAAAAGAAAAAAAAACTTCTAATAAAAAAAATGCATATTGTAATATCTATTAGTAAATGATGAAGAAGAAAAAAAACGATAATAACAAAATTTACAAGCAACTCTTTAGCTGAACAATTGAACATACACAAGGACTAGCACTTACTAATTACTTAGGTTTAAACTGAACATACTGTATTATAATGGAGAGGAAACAAATAAAAAGGAAAACCAAACACACATAAAAAATGGAAAAAGCATATTTTTTAAGAGTGAACAGAAAACAAATGGATAAATCTTATTTAATCAAAAGACAAAATGAATGGTGAACGCTAACATAAAGCTAGTCTAAAATAAAAACAAAAATAAATTCCGTAGCGGTGATATCCTATATATAATGAAAATAATAAACTTTTAGGAATGAAAATTGCTATATTTCTATAGTGGAACAACAAACTTATAAATCTATATATATGAATGGGAGTGTGAAGGTCGAGAATCGACATCTGTAAACTTCTTTCTGTAAATAGCGAAACAAAACCAAAAGACAAAAATCGTATATACAAATACGACGTGGACTTTTTTTTAAAGCGTCTAGCTTAAGGTGTGAATATTAATGATTATTTTCAATGATTTCTTTTCTCACGTCAATTATGATTCGGCGTTTGAGTTTGCTCTGTTCTTTCTCATTTTCAGTACATGTTCTCGTTTGCAACGCGCGCTTATTTTGTTCTATTTTTAACGCAAAATAATTCTATTGCTGCGATTTGGTTGTAATTATCCTGTGGATATGTATAGGTTTGATTTGGAGTCAAAAGAATCGACTTAGTTCGCGTTTGATGTTTTTTTTTTCAAACCATGGAACAAAGAAAATAAAAAGAACCATTTATATCTCATTCACATGCACAGTGCACACACACTCTTCATACACTCAAATATATGGAAAAAAACGAGCACCCGAAGAAGATGAAATGCGGATCAAACGGAATGGGATCTAGACAAAATGAAAATAAGAGACAATTACTCACCAAACACACACAAAAACATTAGACATTTATCGACAATCTTAATCTTGTGCCTTTCTAACTAAAGTGACAACTCATTCAATTAATTAACTGTGTAATCAATTTGCGTTCCCATCTCTTGTGTTCGGCTTTTTTTCCGCACATCCATCTACACACAAGCACATACACATCGTCTCGGTTGAACATTAACATTTCATTTCATCGCTTCAACTAAATCCGAGCTTGCAGTGTTTCAATCAATCTTTTTTTTTCGTTTCTCTTTCATCACCATAACCGAACATTGAAAAAGAAGAAGAAGAAGAAGAAGAAACACGACTTCTATTTATAAATATGCTAAGTAGCTTCAGCTTGAAACCTTTAAGCGGTCACCGTAAAAGTTTTTAATGAGAGAAACGAGTACAACTTTGACATAAATTACATGTGTTAGTCAGAAAACGAAAGAATGCAGATAATTTTATTTTTCAAATAGTTTCATATAAAATGCTCAATCAACTTAAGGCAAAGTATGCAACAACAACTGAAAAAAAGATGGAAAAAAGTGGCTAAAATGGCTACGCATTGGATAAGTTGTTGCAAAGTTTCGATTTACTTCTTTTTTTTTCTTTCTACAGAGTATATTTGATTCAATCATTTCACTCTCTATTTTCTAGATTTCTTTTCTATAATTCAAGAGCTTTTCGTAAAGCTTTAAGCATTCTTTTCCAACTAAGCATTGTTCCGTTTCCAGTTTTTTTTTTCGTCAATTTGATGTAATATTGTCGTAGTATCACAAGTTGATACACTTCATATCCATTTATCCGGAAGAATCAAAATCTTTCGTCGACAACAAAATATTACATCAGAATGATGCGCTACGAATTTTAGATTATTACACACTTTGAAACTTATTTGATTTTATAGAGTGTTCCGTTTCATCTAGAGAAATTCGAAACTCATTTAGAAAACATTTGTATAGCGGATATGTGGTTGAAAAGGGCAAAACTTTTAGCAAAAGCCAAAACCAAAATAGCCAAACTTCATTTTTGGGGGCGAAAATGTTTTTGCGAATACATTGAAAGTGAATAACTATTTTAAAATTAGATCATTTTTGTTCAGAAAATGCTCCATTGACGGAGTACAACAAAAAACCCATACATTTTATCGAAATACAAGAATATTTTAGTGATGTTGCAACCAACAAAAAAAAAGAAATTAGTTGATTTTTGGTGTGAATGTTTGATATAAAACAACAAATTAGCCTTGTTAACATTGCGAGAAACCTAGAATTAATGACAAAAAAAACAAATGTCTTAGCAAAATAAATAAAACATATGCTGCTTCTTATATGGATGTTTTCAATCCAGAACACAAACAAATAATTGATTTTAACAGCTGGCAATTGACAGGTAACATGGATCCAGTCCAGTGAGATCAACATACAATTCCTATTCTCTTCTAAAACAACAACCAAAACCAAACCATTTATCTCATAGCAAATAGAGACAGAGTGTAATGAAGAAAACAAAATAAGAACAACAACAGTTTTAAGACATTAACTAATAATAATAGTGAATCATATAAGTGAATTACAAAACAAAATAGACAACAACAAAAATAAATGAGCAACTCAAGAGTATCGAAAGAAAACAACCGAAAAAAAACATGTATATTGCGTAGTGTTAAAAGTATTTTAGATTTTAAACAACCGAGAATACAGAAAGACTATATATTACTTGAACCATTGTTTGTAGTTTTATTTAATCGTTTTGTAGTTCATTTATCTTCTTAGCTGTTCTTTGTTGCTTTTTTGCGTAAATTTTATAGAACTTAGAAACAAATTACTTATTTGGCACAAAAGATCAAGTTTTTCCCATAACTTACCATATAGTATATGCCCGGCCAAGGATAGATAGTTGCCTGCTGTAGCGAATGAAACGACGAGCTTTCGGTACACCGTAAAACTGCTTCATTATATTTAATTAGTCAAATACTTGCTACGGATTTAGGTAAGTACATATCTATTGACTAGATCGAGAGGAGAGTAAGTTCATCTGACTTTGTTGTTATGAAAGAGAAGAGTTAGTTTCTTTCGACTCAAAAATGGTTAAAGGCGAGTATGTTCATTTTTGGCGGGTCCTCGCGGTTTTCCACGGTTTCCGCGGAACTGATAAGAGATAACAACTGGATGTCTTCGGCAAAGTTGTAGCACTCGAGGTCTTCTACACAGACAGTAATTTTGGACAACCCTTAGCGGTTTTTTAGACAATATACCAATCCATCCATATTTTCGGACAACTTCACTCATATTGTCTCATTTTTTGGCCAACCCTACTATTGTATATACTATTGTACATTTGACACTTGGACAAGTTCACACATATTGTCCTGTTTTGTGGCCAACTTCATACTAATACTATAATGGCATGTTATTACAGTATTAGTATGAAGTTGGCCACAAAACCGGACAATATGTGTGAACTTGTCCAAAAATATGGATGGATTGCTATATTGTCCGAAAAATAGACACCTATTGGAAATAAATTGTATCTGTGTATAACATTGCTGAAGTCAGTTATCTCTTATCTCTTATCAGTTCCGCGAAAAGCGCGAAAAATGATAAGAAAAAAAAAAGTTCTATATAAAAAAAATTTTTTTGTGCGCGATTTGCGTGCAACTGATAAGAGATAAGAGATAAATGTCTTCAGCAATGTTATAGAAGACCTCGAGTACTACAACTTTGCCGAAGACACCATGTTGTTATCTCCTATCAGTTGCGCGAAAACCGTGAAGACCGCAGAGGCTAGACGGTACTACAACATACTCTACTTTAACGCCAACAGAATCATCAGAAAACATACTCTCCTCTTTCAAAATATATTGGAATTTTTTCACATACTCTCCTCTCGATCTAGTCAATATATATTTTAAATTTGAAGCTGAGTTTAGATGAAAAGCGAAAGAGAAATCTTCTTGTGCTACATTTTAAACGTCACGAATTCCCTTCCCAACGGTAATATGGGTTTTGCAATGTGTCGACTACTTCTTAGATAAATTAAAGTTGCAAAAAAAACTTCATACTACGAGTATTCGAAAATCTGTGCCACTTACATCCCTTATATTTTGATTTTCTATCAAGACTCTATACAAATTTTCAGCAAATTTAGCGAAAAGATCTCGATTTTAGTTTTCAGATGATAAAATAATCGGACACTTTCAATTCTAGAAAATTCACTTCAATTTGACATCATTTTGTTCACAGCTGCTATTGGCAGATTCATTTGTTTGCATTTAACGATTAATGAAAAAAACGTAAGTATCTAAAAGAATCATCATGGCGACGAGCATGTTTTCAATGGTTACTGAAGTATGTTCAACAGATTTGAAACTTCCTTCGAATTATGGTTAATTACATTCCAGCCAAAAATCTACATTACAATTTACTTCTATTAGTTCCAATAAATAGCTGCTGGAATATTGAGAATGGTTTCAAGTCCAGAATGTAAACACAGAAAAGGATAGAAATTAATGGAAATAAACATGGATACAGTCTCGCTGTGTATTTGGAATATTATAAAGTTACTTTTGCTTCTCAGTCAGAGAGTTTCACTGAAAGTGGATTTTAACGAAGTAATATTTTTTGTAGTTTTAATACAAATTGCTACGTTCGTGAGTAGTTCAACAGATAAAGACGAAAAAGTTAAAAAGTAAAGAATTTACTACCATAGAACCAATTTAGCTTTTTTTGTAAGTTCAAAATCATTTTCCTCTTTTAGTTAAAATCATTTAAATATGCAACGTGTTGAATAAATATTTCGTTGTTATTTCAGCTCGTGCCCAACTGAATTGTACCACGAATCGTCATGAATGTTGAAATGCCACCGGCACAAGATTCACCAAAGCACATCCTGAATGCATTGAATGATGATTGTATTCAGTCAATTTTTCGTCGATTGGACAACGTACGAGATTTTTTGAGTGCAGCACAAACCTGTCTTCGATTCCAGGAACATTCGAAGCTCACTTCTAGGGCAAAGTACAGAAGATCCATGTTTGTGAACGATATATCGTTGATTTTAATGCCGTGAATGTGGATCGACTGCAAAGTTTACTCAGAATTTTTGGTCATTTGACTATGAACATTTATTTCTATGGTGCTCTTAACGACGATATTCAGAATATGATCGCAGAATATTGTGGAAAAACGTTGTGGACATTTAAAATTGTTTCATCCAATGTGGTCAATTTCAACACGTGATCACGATTTGAAGCGTTAGCAGAACTAGAAATATTGGAAGCAAATCGTAAATGGCTTGATGTTAATATTAAAAATTCAGTTGTAAACTTTTTAAGATTTTCACAGAATATTGCCACTTGGCTTGAATAAACAGAAATATAAAAAAACATTGTTATCATATTTGTTAAATTTCAATACACATAAAGATGCAGGCTTATTTGTGATTTTTTTGTACATAGTACATTCTCCAAAATAAAGAAAATTTATTAAAATTCGAAATTCAAACCGGATTTTCTTTTCGGACATTTTCATTTTTGTTTACTTACAATACATCAACGTTTACAGTCAAATTGGCTCAAGTATTCGATGTGAACTATAACTATCATACTTGAAATTCATATATTCACAAATCAATCGGTAGTTGGACTTTTCTAGACCATATTGAAGAATCGATGGTATTCTTAGTATCTTTTTTTTTAATGTTAAGATGTGACCAAACGAATTCCAACTATTTCGAAGGAGTGCAAAATATACAAATATTTTCAGCAATCTCTCAATATTGTGCTCCCGTCTAGCCACTATCTAGTGGTTGGATAGGCGTTGCCCATAACTTACCATATAGATACATGTCCGACCAAAGAAAGATAGATAGCTGCCTGCTTTGGCGAATGATACTTCGGGCTTTCGGTAAACCGTAAAACTGCTACATTACTTTTTATTAGTTCAAATACTTGCTACGGATTTAGGTAAGTACATATTGTAAATTTGAAGTTAAGATTAGAAAAAAAATCGAGAGATAATTCTTCTTGTGCTACATGTTAAACGTCATATGAACGAATTTTTGTCTTCGTCGTCATTCTCATCATCTTCATCGTTGTTTGGGTAATAAACCTAAAAGAAACACAAGTGTTCTAATTGCATCTCATGGAATCAGTGGTAAAATCTGGTAACTAATAAATGGTATATTCCTTTGATTTTGGTGCGCTGAATTAGCCAATTCGAGTTTCAGCCTAAAGTATTGTGCCTTGCATATTTGATAAGTATACGCTACTAATATTATTCTTGATTAGTGTGAGTGTGTGTGGAAATTCCATCAAAAAACCCTATGACCAAACTACATCTATCAAATTTATACATACGTCCTAGAGGAATTTTCTACAATGGAACCTTCGCATCGTTTAATTTAAAAAATACTTGTATTGAATTATAATACGTAACAAAATACCGAGTTGTGCCTGTTTTGACTTTGAATCGAATTTCGGCATTTGGCCCAAATAAATCCAAACGCTTTCGCCTCAGTTTGAAAGCATTTAGTTTATGGAGCAAAATCGAGTTCGGTTCATCAAATGTGTTGTGCATTTCGGGAGTTCAACTCACAAGGGTCGTTTCATTGCATGCATTTTGAATGGAGTCCATAAATAAAAACACTCTCACTCCCAATTCTCATTTCAACCGTTGTGGCTTGAACTAGGAAATTGCGAATATTGAAAAACTTAAACTAATCCAAGGACTTTGCATCGCTGCATGCTTCATGTTTACATGAGCTATTCCTATTGCCTTTGTTTATTCAGAATATTAGCTTTTCAATCGTACAATGCGATCTCAACTAGAAAATGTCTTATACATCTAATTATTTCCTCAAATCGTTCACACTCTCACATTCTTTGTCACATTTCTTTTGTCCTATGAATATGCCGTTGTTATGATTCCGGTTCTTCTTCATCATAATATTGTTGAATCGCTTTAGAAAATGTTCAAAATTCAAGATTTATTTACACAAAGCATTTTTTTCATTCCAAAAACCCCAACGGATTATCAACGATTTTACAAGGGACAATTGATGGTGCTGGTGCGCAAAATAACCGGTTGGCATTTTTGTTCTCCTCCTCATACTACCACTTGAATTGCAAGCATTTTCTTTTCGATTTATAAGATAATTTTATGTTGTGGAGAGTATTTTTCTGTTCTTCATGGGTCATTAATGGTTAAACTTATATATGTACAAATACTACTGTTGTTGACAAACTGCTGTTTGTTGACTGTGTCTGCGTGCGGTGTTTTGTATTTCGTTCGGATCAGCCAGCATTTGGTGTGTTTTCGGATAATCCGGGTAGTCGATGTATGAAGGAAGTCAGTTCGCAAGTGTGTCGGATGAATGTTTGCCATCTGCAAGAATAAAATCAATGAAAACGCTTTATCAGAAAAAAAAACGGCAGCACTTTATTAATAAGATCGACGAAGGGCAAAAAATGTGTACGCTTGTAGGTAAATGGTCTCGAATTTGAACCATTTGCCTGTGTAATAAAACTCAATCGAAAATGGAGCTATAATGAAGCCGTTCCGATTAGAGCGTATTGCGTAATAATTTGTCTGGCAATGCATAAAAAAATCACTCAATTAGGGCAAATCCATAGCCACTGTCTCAAGAGAAAAATGTGGGAATGTTGCCAGAGCGCGCACGAGAGAGGCAAACATCCGAAAAATTGCTGTGGAACGAATGAAAAAAAAAAACAATTGAAGCAAATTTCCGAAAACGAGACGCAGAACGAAAAAAAAAATTGTCTGTTGCTGTGGCAATTGGCGACAACAGAGATCGAACATTTTGATAATGGAGCTGCAGTTTTTCCCTCTCGTCATAATCATTTGCATTTTTCCCAATGTCCTTCAGAAAAAAAAGACTCACTGTAATCGATATGGTTTGTGCGCTCGTTGCAATTTGCTTTATAACAATGGGCGTATATATGGGCAGTGAAAAATGCTGCATATTTGCTTTTGCTCGCTAACACAAAAAAAAAAAACAACAACAACAACGAAAGAATATGCGAGAAATCATAAGAATGAAAGAAAAATTTTTTCTGTGTTTGTATTTGAAGCTGGCGGTCGGTTACAGTACATTTTTAAATAAGTGCTGCCGAACGACGACGTCGTCGCCACTATCACAGACATCGCACTCTGACAGCATGAACAGAGAGAAGAAAAATACCCCGCTCGCTCAAGTCTCATTCGAAATGGTACACACATCCTATGTCTACAGAATCTGTGTTGAGCTCGGACGCTCACGCCAAGGAACGAACCACCAAGTGGAAAAAGAAGAAGAAGCCTTAAATTATTGCAGTACGATAAAATCATGGTCGAGAAGAAATGCAGACGCATGCACACATTTCAATGGGAAAGAATAACTGTAAAAACCTATTTGGAGAGCGACAACAAATTGGAGGAAGAGAGACAGCGAGACGTGGAGACTGCCGTACGAAGACAAACTTTAGCCTTGTGTTTGTGTGTATTGGGCTAGCTGAAACAACAACAGCGCCCATAAAAAAAATATCATAATTTATTTATTGGAGTCGGGAATATTTCAATGTTTTTCCCGCATTGTCGGTTTGTTTTAGTTTTTGTTGTGGAGCGCGTCGTCGTCGCCGCGGTCGTCGTCAAAGTCATTTTAGCCTTTTTTGCATGGAATTCATAAACCGTTTGTATATGTTTGATATTGTGGTAGTAATATGTGAACGCGTTTGTTGAAAATCGTCGAACTGAACAAAGCGCGTGGCGAATGAAGACAAAAAGAAAGGAAAAAAGACAAAAAAGGGACAGAGATAGAAAAGAAGCAAAAAAAGATTGTTTGATTTAGTTCGAGATGCCGTTTCTATGTCGCCTTGGACTTATGTCAGCAAACGGCAAATGAAACAAATCCAACGCTGATTTGTGACTTTCTCCGCATTTATCGCGATACGAACAAGATACACAAAACAACATCGTGTGATGCTCAACTGTGTGTATAAACAAATCCACTTGCCACAGCAGAGTGTACAACGGACCGACCGATCTCCCGACCACTCTCTCTCTCTCTCTCTCTCTCTCTCTCTCGTTCGCTCCAAAATGCAAACAAATAAAATGTTATAACAAATGAACGATATAAAATATGATACTGATGTATATTCGACCGAAAAGTGTTTCTCATTTGTTTCAAGCAGAAAATAAAATGTGAGGCAAAAATAAAGATTTGGCTGGGCCAAAGCCATAGGTCGATGTGGCGCGACTTCTGTATATGTGGTTGTGTGTTTATAATACAAAAGAGAAAAAAAGATGTTCTCGGTTGTCGGTTTGCAACATGCCATTTCAAAATGCATCTTTTGACTAGTTCTCTTCTTCTTGCTCTTTGCTTCGTATATGCGCTTCGCTAGTTTTATGGCTGCTGTTTTCGGGGTATTATTCGCGTTCACACACACACACAAATAGATCCATTGGTTTTTATCGGCTTATGGTGATTTTTCGACGAATATTATCTGTGATGTGACTCAGTTAGCCGAATGCACCGCGCGCACACACATTGACTGGCACACAGAACGTATGACAACAACTATGATGACGACGCCGATTTTCACATACATTCCATTTTCTTGGCGCTGAAAATGCCAACGCTCTAATGCAACGAAAACAAATTTATTTTATGGAAATTGATAAAATATGTAAATCGAAATTTACTGAACGCCATCTCTTTTGTACATGCAGAGAAACACATTCACACTGTACGATATGATTTTTTTTTGGCACATTTTGAATGCATAGCAAATCATGAAAAACTACATCATACACTCTTTTTCTCATATTCATTCTTGAACGCGTGATTATGAATAAAAGCGATGATTTTTTACGCTCTCTCAATTTTCATTTTTGGTTGCATAACCAGAAATTATCGCTTAACACGTCGTCGCTCTCTTTGCGGAAGAATAAAGTGCAATTCGCTAGTTTTATGCTTTGTGTGAAATCCATTTATCTCTCCATTCTTTCTTGCGTCAACGCGCGCGCGACTGAGCGAAGCACTGATCCATTGCTGCTTCCACCAAGAACAAGACAACGTGTGTTGTATATCCACAATCGGAAAGTGCATGCGAATAAATCGCTCGTAACGGAAATTTGTAAGAAAACACATTATTTGAGTTCTTGTCTCTATTTCTCTTTCGCGTAACGACAGCATATTTTTGTCGCCGTAACGGAATGAAAGAAAAAAAAGTTACCGCCATAAATTGTGTTTTTGGTTCGAACGAATCGTAGCAGCCCGGCGGAATCACATTCATACGAATGGTTTTATTCATGCGCAATTTCGAAAAGTTTTCGAATTACCGTCTGTTCTCATTTTAAATCAATTACTTTCGATTTAGGGGGAAATTAAAACTTATTGAAAGACAAATATTTAAGAGATTATGGCTATGTCTGTCAACGCACAAACACACACACATACACTAAACAAATACACAAGAGGATACAGTATAAATTACAGCGCGTAACATTTTTGCGAAGATGAATCTTCTCAATGAGCAAACAAACCTTTTTCGGGGAAAATTTTCAGTTTTCAGTAGAGAATTCGATAGACTTGTTACGTTTCAACAAGTGCGTGGGAGCGTTCGCTTCGTTGTGAGCACGCGATTTTCAGCGGGCTCTCGTCGTTTCAAAACTGCTTTTAATTCATTACGCGCTTGTCACTAATTGATTCGTGTTTATTTTAAGTTTATTTAATTGTGTTGAATATTTCATTATTTCGCCCCGGTAAAGTTTGCGATGTTTTATTAAATAGTTAGAGTATATTTATTGAGTAATTAATTTGTTTATTATTGAGTAGTTTTATTGGATGCTTTGCGAAAAAAAAACGCCGTTTTCAAACGATTTATCTATTGCGGTTTTCGAAAGCGTTGCACGTGTGGAATCACACCCGACTTTCAAAGTATAACCAGCTTCGTTCTGCATGCTACACTTAACGTTAAATATTTGATGCGACTTAATTGAATGCCGTTTAATTTATGATGATTTTTTGATTTTATGCACTCTATACCGTACATGTGTGATGTGTACGGCCAGTTTTTTTTCCAACCGATGCAAGAGCAGGAGTTGAAATATTAAAAATAGTTGCGTGAGATGATTTTTCATTTAATTCGTTCGAATTAAGTGCTGCTCGCGCCGCGTACTGATCACAATGAATTTTCAACACCAACTGAATGTTGCGGACGAACGGCGGATAAAAAAATATTCTGGCTGAGTAAAGTGTTGATTTAGGGTGAGTGTGTCGTGAACGATGTGAATGAAGCCAAAGCCATCATTGACAAGGTATAAAAATTCGTCGTTCGCCAAACAGATCAACACACCAGTGTGCCAACAACTCAGAATGATTTTCAATTTTTCGTCGATTTTGTGTCTCGGTTTGTCGCAACGCGCCCATTTTTGAGGCTCGCTCTCGCTCTCTCACTCACATTCGCTGTGTGTGATTTGATTCGGGGCCAGCAAAATTGAAGAATTATATTTTTCGTTCAGGATCCTTTTTTTCACTCTCTCTCTCTATCTGGTGTGTGTGTGTTCATTCATTTCGGTTGGCCATTTTTCTTTGACACAAAACTTTTTGGGTATTAGCCAGTTGGATAGCGATGGAGCAGTAACGGCATCAATGGCATCTCATCTTGGGCCGAAGACAAAAATGTTTTCACCGGTCTATTTCCTTGGCGAACAAAAGAAACAAACTCACTCTTGCACCATATCAGCAGCAACCGAAGCTAACACTGAAAATATTCTCACACTGCATATTCACGCTCTCTTTTTTTCTCTCAGTTATTTTGTTATGTCGTAGACAGCTTGGAGACGATTCAAATGGTTACGTAACTAAAATTGAGCCCGCGAATTTAAAACGAAAAATAACAAAGCAATCAACCAAATTAACGAATTTTATGTGTACAACGACGTCATCACCCGTCGACCGTTGTGGCGATTGAGTCCGAGTTTAAAGTGCAACTCATCGCGATGACAGCGGATTTAATGCGATTATTCTATTTTCTTCTTATTTAGATTATTTTAGGCGAACTTTTAAGATTTTACGCATTTTTTTTCTTCTTCAGTTGAAAAAAAAAACCAAATTGCGGAATTTTCTTCTTGAAAATCAACAAAAATGACAACGACTTCAAATCCGATTAAAATAACATAATAAAACGAAAAAATAAAGTGTTTAGCCCTTTTCTCAAGAAAAATGTCCCGGACGATGGCGAGAGAGAAAAGTGTTCTTGGTTATTTTAGCGTTGATGTTTTTAAAAACGAGAAATTTGAATTTTTCAAACGCCACGACACACAATCATTGCCCGTAGGGCAACGATTGGCGCGCGTGTTTTGTGTGCCAGAATCCACACAATACTGTGCTGCCAAACAATTCGACACCACTGGCTCAACTCCAAAATAGAAAATTTCATTCTTTCGAACACACCATAACCGAAAATCGCTCACACACATAGCCAAAACCAAAAAAAAACAATCTCTATCTGACTCTCGCCCAATACGACTCTACCCGATATGCGACTACTCGATTTCCACCGAAATCACTCATTATTGCATACACGCAATCCGCCTTCTCTGTACTCGGTATCTCTTGCTCTCGCCACAGCAGCTCGCTGTATGCTGTGTGTCTTTTGCACGTATAAATAGACAAGCCACGAGCGTCCTAAGACTCAGAGCAAACCTACTATTTACAAATAGATTACATGTGCAGTACACACAGCAATGACTCGGTGCCGTCGTCGTCGCCGCTGATTCTGCTACAGCCGTTGCTGTGATTCGGTGAAATTGTGTACATGTGTTTAACAACGGCGAAATCAACTCACCAAAGAAACAAACAGCCGAATGATGCGCGCGCGAAATCGTATCCCATTCGAAATGCTCTCATTTTCTATATGCTATTTTCGTGCACGGTCCAATGCAATGTTGGTTTTTGGCTGCAAAAATCCTTGCCACCAAACCAAATCGAATGAAACCTCAACTCGCATTCATACTTTCAAGCCATATAGTAATATGTGTATGGCATCTGAGATGCAAAATATCAACGGGGCGTTTTGTTTTGCTCTTATTTTCGCGGCAATTGTCGCCAACAAAATAGCGCCTTTGACTTTGTCACTGATCATACATTACATTTGCAAATACTGTAAATCAAATTAACTCGCGCGCTCTTTAAAATTATAGTTGCTTCGGTTTTATTTTTGGCATGTTACTCTTTGTAACGGCGTTACTAATTAATGAACTTTAGCGAAACATCTCTCAAACTTTGGTACGTATCGTGTAGTCAATATTCGTTAATTTGCTTATTGCTCGTCGGTGCATCGCATTGGGAATGTTGAATGTCTCATTGAAAATTATTGCCGGAGCAGAAAAAATAAACTATTGCTAGTGTAGCATACTAAAATATGTATTTTGATACACGTAGTACAGCTGAATATAGTTCGAAAATCGGCACGTGCATGTGGAAAATTACAGTGATTCAAAACGCAAAACCAAAGCGAAACCAACAACTCAATTGGATTAATTCAAATGTCGGGC